AAAATAAAATAAAATAAAAATTAAAAAATCGGGCAAGGTACCGCGATTGTAGGGAGGGCTACATAAATCTCGCAAGAAATGTGCACCTGTGCAAGCGAGACGAGAGAGAGGAAGCACTTGACACCAAACCAGAGATGCTCATCTTCAGGAAACAGCCGGAGGATAGTATTCGCTATGACAGATACTGACCTACCTGCCGTTCTAGTCTCCAGATTTGGAGGGGAAATGAACTTACTTGGAAGCAGCAGCTGCTACCAGGCGAGGCTGGAGGCTGGGGTAGATGGTAGAGGCATTTGAAAAGGAACACAGATGACTCTTGAGAATTCCAGGCAGTATATTTGTCATCTCGCTTTCCTGTATCGCACCATCTGTGCACAGTATACAGAAACAAGCTCATGTACGCCATTCTATGGAACCTACCTATTCATCATCATCATCATCATCATCATCATGATGGTCATGTGTTGCAGCTTTTTTAAGCCACGGCTGCTGTTTCTTCATCCAGGGGTACTTCGTAGCCTCGTTCTCATCGTCGCTGAACATTGCGTCATCTTCGTCGTATTCTTCTAGGTCCGAGGCGTTATGGGTACGATAGTTGTAGGCGTTACGGCCGTACTCATCGTCGGAGTCTACTTCCTCGTCGGGGTAGTCGGCGGTGTAGTGGTTCTCCGCTGTAAATTAATAAGTTTGAGAAGTTCTCATGACAGGGCATGGCAAGGACATACCATTCTCATCCTCGTCACCATCGTCCTCCTCCTCGCTACTGTCATCTTCTCCTCCGTAAAAATCTTCGATATCCGGTTGAGATTCGAGAATCAGTAGACCAATACTTTTGCCACTCTCCATAGCTTCAGCAGGGACGCGAACGTAGGTATCAATGATATACTCCGCGTCATCATCCATGTCCACATCCACATATTCCTCGTCGACATCCATCGCCGTATCGACAATCGATTCCGGGTGTCTCTCCGAATATCTCTTGGCGGGCTTCTTGGGTTTAAATTTACTCGGAGTTCTTGGGCCTCGTGAAACAGGCTTGGGTCTCGCCGCCTCGGCTTCAGCTAAGTTCTTGCCAATTTCTTGTAGAGTGTAGGCTTGCATCTCTGCTACCAGTCGATCAGAGGTGACGTCCCATGGCATCGTTAGTCCGGATGGCATGACTACATTTCGTAGAGGTGCGGGGGAGGGTTTAGGTGTGGCGGTGAGCTGGAAGGGAACTGTCGATGTTCTTGCTTTCTTGCCTGGCCTCTTCTGAGATACTGGCTGGTCGATTTGTCGTGTCGCTACCCCATGGCAGTTTTCCTCAATGGCAGATTGGTCCGATACCGGGGCATTATCCTTCTGTTCCGTGAGCGCTGCTTCCTGCGTCGGTATGGCCGCGCCAGGAGTTCCATTGGCGCTTTTTGGTTGGATTCGGCGCTCAACAAAAACAGCAGCCTTGGGCTTTCGACCTCTAGCGGTCGCCGCGGCAAGACTTTTCGAAGACTTATTGTCTCGGTAGATATGGTATCGGCGCGGTTGCGTAACAGGCTCAGGTAATTGAGAAAGAGGATTGGAAGGGTTGGAAGGCTTCGCTGAGGGCTGCACTACATCTTGTGCTGGCGGAGCCTGGAAGCTCGGGGCAACGACCGGTGATTTGAGTGCTGGTGAGCTGGAGAAATGGGGTAGCTGTTGTAGCTGCTTGGTCTTGCGCGGGCCTGGAGAAACGGGCTGGCTTGCGGTCGATTGCTCAGCGGGTCGTCTTGAGAAGACGTACTCAGAGTCTTGACGTTGTCTTTTACCGCTGCCTCCAGATTCGTGGATGCCTGTAGGTCTGTGAGCTGTGGGCTCCTCGCGTCAATGGCAGAGGACGGCATACGCAGGAACTCTACGGGATCATCTGTGGCCTTTCTCTTGACCTGTACCGTCACTGGAGGGAGCGACATGGCGGAGGATTTGGCACCAACGCGACTCGGTGGATTGGGTGGTGTATTCCGGATTTCTTGTCAGAATGCGACAAGGAATTGGTATTTATGTGAGGTCGGACGCAGTCTCGAGCGCTTGGCAGCCGATTGGTGTGCGTGGGAAGATGAAGATAATGAAGATATACTTTGTAATATTTCAATCTTGCCCCACCATCCCGTCGAAGTCCTGGGAGCCTCAGGCTGGCTCCTTCTAGCTTGGCGTGTCAATCTTTGATAAGCGAGGCATTGGAAGGCAAAAAGTCGAAATAAGCAGAGCCGACCGATTCCCAACAGAAAGTCTAATTCAACATCGAATTCATGAATTCGATTGAAATCATTGACACTGCATGCATGGCCGAAGTTCCCACGTTGCCACGTTCCCACCTTCCCACGTTCCCCCGCTCCCCCGTACCCCCGTTTCCCCGTGCCCCCGTGCCCCCGTTCCCCCGTTCCCCCGTTCCTCCGTGCCCATACTCTGCATTGTGGGCTAGAATCCAGCCTGTCATACGTCACTGGTTAAACCAAGGCTGTGGCGTGTGCTGTCCTGACTCTTGACTGACCTTGAACGAATGCTAGGTAGGTACCGGTACGGTAGGTGTGGGTGGCTGTGGCGCCAGAAATCCAGGATGCTGATACTTAAGTACGGAGGAAGAGAGATTGTCGGCATGGAGAAGTAAGTATGTATGTATGTATTCTTCGTATATGTACCTACCGATCATCCTGTGTCTCGGGGTGCCAGGGATTGCTGCGTTCTTTGCGGCGTAACCTTGAAATCGTGACGCCCGGCCGCACTTCTCGTCCGACCAGCACGACCAGGAAGTCGATGCGGGCGAGCCTCTGATTGGGACAGCCGGATAGGGTCACCATGCCGTGGAGATTCGTTGGTTATCGTATCCATAGGTAAGGAATGGTTGTCTCTCTCGCTTCTCTTTAAATATTCCCTGATTCCCATTGCACATTTTCCACCTTTTCGCTGCTCCTCCTCTTCTCCTCCTTCTCGTCTCCTCCTCCTCCTCCTCCTCTTCTTCTCCTTTCTCTTCTCTCCTCCTCTCCCCCTCCCCCTCCTCTCCCTTCCCTTCTCTAGAACTTCATCCTCTCTCGTAGTTGGAATCTTGGGGAACTCGCTATCGTGTTTTATTGCCACAGCATTCCCCAGCTTTACTTTCCTAGCCCAGGCTCTTGTCGGTCGGCACTAAAGCGGTGGCTCTCTCATTGATGCTGTGAGGCCATAATCCGGGGCAACCATAGCTTGTGCGGGGTATGCGCCATCCCATCAGTCAGTCGTCCCATGTTATGTGGAAAACTCGAATCCCCAGAATCCCCAGAATCCCCAGAAACCACCCGAGATTCCCTTGGGGCCGTTGCATCTGGTCGGATCGGACCGGATCCAATCGAATCTAGTAAATCGAAAATAAACCCCGACTTTCACCATATTGACTCATCTGGCTAACTCTCCATCGCTCGCTCCTTCCAGATCCAATAGCACGCGATCAGCGAGTAGCGGACACCAAGCAAGCAAGCAAGCAAGCAAGCAAAGCACTCCCTGACCCCTACCCTAAATGATTGCCCGCCTCCCCAGGACATCACCACCAAAGCAAAGCCATTTTTGCGATCTTCATCACATAACTGCAGATTATAAAAGCCATCTTTCTGCCCCGAATGGCCCCCAAGACAGTCTCCGTGACGGTGAGGTACTCGAAGCCAGGGACGCAGCCTCCGATCTACCTGGGAGGCTCCTTCGACGATCCGCAATGGCACGAGCCACGAGAGATGCAGTATACCACCGACGAGAACAACGAGCATGATTTCTACACCGAAGTCAACGTAGAGGAAGGCAGGGAATACCAGTACAAGTTTCGCGTTGGCCCGGGTGACTGGTGGGTTTTGAACGAGGCATCTCCAACCGGTACGTTGTTGTTTTTGTGCTTCCCCTTCCCCTTCCCCTTCCCCTTCCCCTTCCCCGTCCCCGTCCCCGTCCCGACTTCCCTCCCGAGCTAGAGCGAGGCTGCGGTGATTGCCTCCCGAGCCCCTCCCGTCTTCCTTCTCCCCGAGACAAAACTGACAACCTCTCCGCAGTCCCCGACAACCAGGGGATTCCAAACAATCTGCTCGCCGTCCCAATCTCGGAGCACTCTACCGCTATAGTTGAATCAACACCAGCTGCAGACGCACTCACGGCGGAAGAGCCACCAGCTCTTGCTGCAGATATGGAGCACTCCACCAGAGGCCATGCCGAAGAGGCAATGGACACGAGAGAGACATCCGACGTTCTCTTCGATGACGAGATCGTCAAGGACTTGGAACAACCGGAGGCCACCCCCTCGTCCGTCGTCCGTGACCCAGTCGAGCCACACTCAACATCCGCAGCAGAGTCGAAGGCGGACGTGGTTGAGGCAATGAAGGACGGAAAGATTGCTCCATTGGACTCTTCCCCTGGAACAGTCGAACCACACCCCACACCTGCATCAGAGCCCAAGACAGTAGTTGGCGATAAGTCGAAGGACACAAAGAAAGCCTCGTTGGCGGTTTCCCCCGAGCCACTCGAGCCACACCCAACCCCAGCTATGGAGCTGGACAAGGTAGATGCCGAGCTTGTCGAGGAGCCTGAGGATGGAAACGGAAGAGACAACGACAAGGCTACACGCTCCACGGACAGCATTGAATCTGCGCCAACCTCTCCTTCTGCCATCATTCTGACTGAGGACCAACCCAACGCACCTACCTCAGAAGCCGAAGAGTCCCACATTGATGTCACTGAACACGGAAATGCCAGTGGCAACTCTGGGCCCGAGCCGCATAGCACCGCTCCTGCCTTGGTGGTTGAGAAGGTCGATTCGAAGCCTAGCTTTGGCGATGATTTTGGTCCAGGAGCTACGGTTGCAGAGAAGGATGCCCATAAGCTTCGAACCCTTGATGCAGAGCCAGATCTAACCATCATCCGAAATGGAGCTAAGACGCCAGAAATCGCCAATGTCGCGGCTGAAGTTGCGGATTCTGCTGCGACACTTGACCGAGATGCTCCCACACCGCCCATTTCTGACGAGGAGGCAGGCCGTACTGGCTATCGACGCATGTCCAATACTCCGATACCAGAAGTTGCGGCCACAGCTGCTGAAGTAGCTGATATTGCTGCGTACATTGATGGTGTCCCTATCAGCAAGAAAGAGTTTGTAAGTCTTCTCCTCGGTTTGACGCATCAGAAGCGACTAACTCTCCCAGGGTGATCTTCTTGAGACCAGAGGCTACTTCGAGATCATGAATGATGAAAGCATTCAATTTGCAGAAACTCCACCGGACGAAAAGGTTCCACAATTGCCTCACGAGAGCGGCTTATCACTTCCTATTCGTAACAGTACAGCTGTCTACGACCCCGTTGATATTCCTTTCTACGACCCCAATGAATCAACCATGATTCCATTTCCGGAAGACCGCGAGGGGATTTTGAGGGAATTGGCAAGGATCGAAGCCAGTATGCCCCAAGGTGCCCGTGCCTACTCGGAACGCTCCTCGTCGCTCGGTCTTATTGCAGAAGAGATCGAGGAAGATCAGGAGGACCTTTCAGGACCTGTCAAAGTCAACGGCAGTGGCGGTTTGACGCATTCGAGCAAGACGGAACCCGAGGGCATGATGGGGGATTCTGACAAGGTAGGGGATGGCATAGCTGTGTCCAATCCCGCAATTTCAAACGGCGAGAATGTGAAGCCCGAGGAAGGAGAGACACCCACTGTGGAGGTCCCAGTCACCTCTAGCCCGGAACCCGTCGACCTCAATGCATCCGTGGATGGTGCTGAAGAATCGCCAAAAATGCCGTTGCCAGCCACACCAGAGAGAATCCCAGCAACCCCATTCGTGGTCGGGAACCGACAACTTGGCCACGACGATGGAGAAGTCCAGGCAATCACTACCACTGGTGGTCCCAATATTCTTGTCGAGCCAGCTACCCCAGCTGCATCCACCGCTCTACCCAATCCCATGGATCAGCCTGTAGACAACCAGCCTCTCGCTCAGCCAGCCAAGCCGGTCGAGCAGCCCATTGATACTGCAAAGACTAGTGCAATCGAGGACAAGAATGGAAGCGGAAAACTCATATCTCGCAAGCAACCACCATCACCAGTCCCGGAGCGGCCTATTACCCCCAGCTCATTGCGCTCCGTTAATAAGGACGCCGGATCTCGGAACTTCTTGAAGGCCTTCTGGCGGGTTGTCTTTGTCGATTGGATCGGTGGTCTGATTGTGCGCCTTTGCGGAGGCAATCGCCGCAAGTAAGAAACTCACAGCTCATTCCGTCGCTGTTTTCTTCCTTCAATTCTCGTTGACCGTTTTCCGAGTTTCCTTACGACTCCTCTTACTGCGATACCCAAAGGAATCAAAAGTTTTTTTTTTCCATCCCAGCAATGCTGATAGCTAGTCATCACATAGGCTTCTGGCTGTGGGTGCTATTGCAGCCTTCGGGTTGTATTTCTTCTTGCCGACTCCACGTGTTGCAGGGCTGGGGATGGGCGTACCATAGATAGGAGATTCATTGGGGTTGCCGTTATGGATGTCATTGCATTGCCAGCGGTTGTGCTTTTTCTTTACGGTGGTGAACTAATGACGGGTGGGTGCTGGGCTCGGCTGAGCTTGATGAAGAGCCTGCTTGCTTGTCTTGCGTAAGGGGGGTGCTGTATCAAATGAGCCTAGGCCGAGGCCTAAAACATCAATTAAGCGTATGCATTCATTACGATCTGGTTTTGGTGGTGAATTTTCCATCGGATCCCTCGTGCTATATGTAGGCTTGATTTATCAAATTGACCACGAACCTGAACGGTAGTGACGTTGAAGATAGTCATTCCGAAGGAAGACTATTGATCGAGTATCGACTTTGGTACAGTATCTGAAAGCCAGGGTTGATGGCCAGCCAGACTCTGCTAATTCTTAATCACCAGGGGGATGGGAAGTTAGGAAGAAGGGCAAGATTGAATGAAGTATACAGAATGGAATACAAAAGAGCTGGCTAGACTTCGAGTTGGTAGGTACCTAGTACGGGGTACGGAGTGAGGGGGCTCGAGCCAGTCCTATTACGGGTCTCATCTTTTCGCATGTAGTTGAACGGATAGAGGATCTTGCTGAAACGGATCGGTAACGCCTCTGTAGATGCTGCTTTCAGTACTGTGGGACATTGCGGATTGGGATGTTCTGTAGGAGATGGTAGAACAGTTTATTTGGGAAATGTTGATACTTTTTGATATGAAAAAAAAATGTGGATAAGCATTTTTATCGGTAGATGTATACTTATAGAGTTTCGGTATATCATCGTGCGGTGCTACCGGTATTCGCTAACACTTGTGGACCCTGATACCCCTCGAATTGACGACACCACCCCTCCAGTCCGAAAGCCATCATGTTCATCTGTAATCAATCTACCATATTCCACCTCCTGAGCCCCTAGGTATAGCCATCTCCGGACATTCTACAAGCAAATGATTTAAACACTTTTAATCTGCGACAAGATGCCGCCAACTTATGACCCCCTTCCCCGGACCTCTTCCTCTTTCGACGTGCTCCGACCCAACTCTCCCTCCAACGTATTCAAAGACAAGCCTCTACCCAACCGCCGCTGCAGTCTCCTGCGGAAAGCCCGTCGCTGCACCTCGCGCATCTGCCGCCTGCGGTGGATCGCCCTCCTCCTCGTAACATGCCTGCTCTGGCAACTGGCCTTCAACGGCTCCTACCTGCTCTCGCACGCCCCACCCTACACGGTGCACGCGTCCGAGAGGGTCTTCATCGCCGCCAACATCATCGACGGGGACCTCATCACCGGGGCGTGGGGGAGGAGCCTGCTGGAGCTGGTGGAGAAGATCGGGAGGGAGAGGGTATTCGTGTCGATCTACGGAGGGCCGACGGCGGCCTTGCGGCAGCTGGAGAGCACGCTGGAGTGCGAGACGCGGATCGTGAGCGAGGAGGAGGAACCGCTGGATATGTCCACGATTCCGCGGACGCTGCTGCCGTCGGGGGAGCGCAAGGTTAAGCGGATCGCGTACTTGGCCGAGGTGAGGAATAAAGTGCTGGAGCCGCTCTACAAGGCTGGGAAGGGAAGGCAGAAGTGGGATAAAGTGCTGTTTCTCAACGATGTGTTTTTCGATGCTGAGGGTGCTACGCGGCTGCTTTGGGGGACGAAGGTTGATAAGGAGGGAGGGAGTGCGTACAAGGCCGTCTGCGCTGCGGATTTTGTGACGAGTTGGAAGTACTACGATACGTTTGCTACGAGGGACGTCGAGGGCTACTCGATTGGGGTACCGCTGTTTCCGTGGTTTTCAGCCGAGGGAGAAGCGGTGACGAGGAACGATGTTTTGGCTGGGAAAGACGCTGTTAGAGTGAAGAGCTGCTGGGGAGGGATGGTCGCTTTCCAGGGCGAGTATTTCTGGGCCAGAGATGAGGATGGAGCTAATGTGGAGAACGCGAGATCCGTGTCGGCAAATCTGCACCCAAACGCGCAGATTCCAGGGTCGTTGGACTCCAGATCTCAATCAGGCAAGGACGTCAAGGCCCTCAGAGCGAACAATGGTATCGGCATACCACAGCTACCTCTGAGGTTCAGATCCGAGCCGGAGCCGTTCTGGGACTCGAGCGAATGCTGTCTTATTCACGCGGACATCATCTCCTTGGGCGGCACGCCGGATTCCAAGACAAGCGACGATAAATGGGATACGGGGATATATATGAATCCGTACGTAAGAACCAGTTATTCGGAAAGCACGTATCGCTACCTCGAGTTTGCGAAGAGGTGGGAGAGGCTATCCTCTCCTCTTCAGAGAATGCTGAACTATTTTGCAAACATGCCGCGGTGGAACTACCGCCGCACCGAGACCGAAGGGGAGGTGATGACAGACAATCTCTGGATCTCGATCCATTCGAACATGTCGGAGATGGCAGCCGTCTACGTGGCCGAGCATAATTTCGAAACTGAAGCAACTCCAGAGGCAGGCTTAGAGGAGAGGGCTACACTGGGAAAGGTTAGAGGGAAGGAGTATTGGGAAAATCATGGCTACTATGTCGGTTATCGGCGGATGGCTAAGCGCGGAGGGTACTGTGGGGTGAGGCAGCTGCTTGTTATGAAGGAGGGGAAGCTGGAACCGGGGGAGGGGAACTGGGATAATCTGCTGGATCGGGTGCCGCCGTTTGATATGTGATGAGTCTTCGGTGTATCACTATATGTATGTATCTTATGCTGGGTTATCTGTGGCACTGACATGGCGAGGGAGTTAGGAGAGATGGCATACATATTCAAGGCGTCGGGCTTATTATTTTTGCGGTGCGTGTGCTATGATATCCTCTGCCGAGTCCTGTCTCTATGGAATACATCTTGATCTTTCCCGTGGCACCTAGTGCACTTTCAGACTCGCAGCTCCGTGTCTTTCCGCTTTTTCTTTTTCTTCGTTTTCGTTCTTTCACGCTGCTTCATGCTCTTGCGGGATGTTTGGCTCACCTGGACAGTTTGCATCTGGCCGACCTCGGTGGGTCAGTACACTACACTTGCATACTTCGACATTCATCTCCTTCCTTATACATCATGTCTTGGAGTAAACAACCTACCGTACAGAAGGTTGGCCAGAGTGGGTTTAGGTTTAACCATCTCGCGAAGCCTCTCGGCAGAACAATTCCAACGCCAGTTCATCATCCCCAGATATATCGATCTTTGTTATATAACAACAACAACAACGACGACGACGATAACAAAAACAACAACAACAACAACAACAACAACAACAACAACAACAACAACAACAACAACAACAACAACAACAACAACAACAACAACAACAAAAACATCAACGACAACAACAACAACGTCTTCTTCTACCTACGCAGCGCGCAAAGCATTTTGCTAATCAATCAGCTTCTGTTTCAGCTCGTCTAGCTTCCATTTGCTGTACGGCTCAATGCTTTGCATTTAGAGTTTGATATCACGTATGTCTCGGTTAACTAATCAGGTAGGAGGTATACGGGAGGTACTGAGGGTAAGTTAAGCCGAATCGACGGCAGAATTATTCACCCCCAAAAATCACCCTGCCCGAGCCCCTTCTTGCTAACGAAAGCGGTGACTTAACTTGACCCCAGCACCTTCGTAGATTCTGTTTAGAGCAGGCTTCCCGAAACGGTTAGACCCAAACCCTCGCTGGTCAATCTATACGGTAAGTAGTTCGCAGGCAGTATAAGGGGAGAAGGAACAGAGGGTACTCTACGTCATCATTGCTACTAGCTTATGTCCCTTAATTATATAGCCTTCCCTCCTTCTATAGATAATGATCATGTTTCGTTCCCCCACTTGGTGTGGTCCTCTTTTCTCAGGTTGACTTAAAGTTAGTAAGCTATCCCGTTTGGGGAAAATGGTAATGCCGATAATCTTTAGTTCCATCCACAACTAGATTTATTGCAATTCCGCCCTCGATCTCAAATAAATCGAAGAGCGCAACTGAAGGCTTTACATCTTTTTAAAACTCTTCTCAACCACGCAGCAGCAGCCCCCTCGTCGAAATAAGATGTGCGTCCAAAGCAATATGACCGACACGAGCAAAGACACGCCGTGGCGCGCATTCCGATACCCTGATAATCACCTTACCGATGACATGATCGATAACCCGGAGAGACTGGCCGAATTACTTTCTCGGTTGAAACTCGCCGAACAGGATATGAAGCCAGGCACTTTAGGGGGTATTTTCAACAACCCTGCCAACGATTCAGTCACCTTTGCGCGAGATGCTACTTGTGTACCACCAGACGTCCCCAAAAACACCAGGATTCTGTCGTTTCTGTCCATCTGGCAATCCAGCGCATCACCAACGCTTGACGGCTGGTTCATCAGCGATTTTTTCGCATTTTATCACCTTTTTCAGAATCTGACACCAAACCAAACGTGGCTGCACTCGCTGGATTTGGACTCTTTGATCGATGATCCCAAGATCAAACGATACCTTCATAGCAGCCCATGGGGTAAGAGAAAAGTTGTTCTTGATAGGGATATTCTGGCAAAGATCAAGAGGGGTGAATACCATGAGCTCCTGAAGGTTAAGGAACTAAACTTGCGTGCGAAGTTCGTCGAGCTCCTCAAGGAGCGTTTGAAAGCTGCTTCCGATAATGGAGAGAACTTGCTCATCATGATTTTGGGTCATGGCCAAGCAGATACTGGCCATCTAATAGTTGGGGACCGCGGACGTCCATTTACGGTCAAAAATTTGATCAAGAAATTCAAGGATGTGCCAGATGTGCCCGTTATGTTGGCAAATGACTACAACGCAGTCCCCTTCCTGAAGAGTATTCCAGTACTGACATTGTAACAAATTTAACAACCCAGTGTTACGGAGGAGGTTGGCTCATGGAGCCGTTGAATGTTTCCGGGATGACTGCAGCTGGAAAGTCCAGGCGAATTCATTCATAGCGGTTTTCAGAGTCCCCAGGCTCAATAAAACGAGCTTCGGGATCCAAGTTTGTATCAGCAGTCACCAAAACGCTTACTAGCAACCCCACGGCAAAGAAATCCCTGGAAGAAGAAGTAGAGGACATGGAAGATGATGAGGAAATTGGGGAATTGTCGGGCCTGTCTGGTCAACAACTTCATGAACGGACAGACTCATATGCGGAACTCACCGGGACCAGCTACGAAGCCCTTGCCATAATAGACAGGCGTGCATACAAACACCAAATTTCGTTCAAAGCGCAGGACAACGATTGGTCGGCCAATGGGCATGTCAGAACGGGTATAGCAATGCAAGATCTCAGATCGAGATGGGAAGCCTTGCAGGAATAGGACTCAGACCCAACTTTGCACCTGGGGGACTTCTTGAACCAGGACCCCAACGTCCCCGAGAGCGCGAGATTGGAGTATCTTGAGTTTCCTTGCCAAGCACAGAGAGGAGAACCCTGTCGACACGAATACGGCTAAACGCGAAGATGCAGAGAGTAGCATGGTACTAGGGAAAAGGTCCGCCAGTGGTACTCCCAAGCCTAACCTGGCTCTTCAGCTGAATCTATGTTCAAGAGCTACCAAAGCTTTGTCTTCGGAGCCGCCAAGGTGTATATGAGAAGTCACCCGGGAGACGACGATTCGATGAACGGTCCTCTGCATGCAGAAATAGTGAGTCTAATGAGTCCTATCTCGACTAACCCAGTCACCAGAGAAAGACTAGAATCGGTCATCATGCAGGTCCAGTACCGCCTGGACATCATGTCTTAAGCGGATAAGTATGTCCAGAGAATGGGCTTGTGTGAGCCTTCAGGCCAAACATGCCAGGAGTTCGATGAAGAAGAATATCTCCTAGATCGCTCTGGCCGAAGTCGGCTGGATCAGATCAGGCATGAATTTTTTAAATCGTACGCTGCAACATTGTTCCCTAAGCCGGGTCCTGTGGGGGGGCATCCGCTGAACAGGTATGAGTTCCATAAAGGAAGCGGCTATGTCTGTGCTGCGATTGACTTCACGGTCGACTCGGGAAACGCTTAGTCTGAAGGAGTGCATGGCAGCCCTCGAAAAGATATACAAACAAGTCGAGATTGAGATTCAGAGCACGAAAGGACTTGTCAAATCCCTGCCTGAAGTGCAGTCACAGAGACAACGCGTCGCTGCGGCGTTTAGCAAAACATTGCGATACCTTTCGCCCGTTCGAAATAGCCAGGAGACTTGACCATCGCTAAGCCTTGTTGGGAAGCTCAAGAATACGCCCGTAATCCTCCCCGAAAACCCGGAGGAAGCTCGAGGAAGAAGTCCTTTCAAGAAGACTTGAAGAAAATGTGTCGACGCAGTACATCGCGGGGAGTCTGGCTAGACCTGGCCGAACGGCGTCAGCAGCTTCTGCGGCGCGAATGGGAACTAGATACCGGCCCGCATAGCCTATACTACAGGGCTGAAGACGCCCAAGGCGTCCGGCGAGGGACGGTCAGGAGTGGAGGCGCGTTGCTAGAGCGGGCTGAATCTGATGATTGATCGTGGTCTCTCTCTCTCTTCTCGTTCTTTGCGTCGTCGTACATACGGGGATAGACCGCTCGCCACATTGACTCGGAAATTGCATGGTTTTTCACTGCAAATTTCAATGAGCCCATCCTCGAGTATCAATGAAAGTGAAAAGTGAAATCGAAAAATTGATCCTCGAGTGCTTGTGATAGGATAAATCAGTGACGATATGGAGTGAGTACATACACATACAGACTTGATCCCATCTCCATAACATAGATAATAAAGTAAATTGTAGAAGATACAGAGGAAGGGACGGGGAGGTAAAGTAAGCTAAGAATTTGGCCAAGCAAGTAAGCAAGCCTTGCCTCCCCATTTATTACAGTGAAGGAATGGGCTTTCTCTTTGATGGCCTCGAAAGAGCAAAAAAAAAAAAAATCAATTCTTTTCCTCAAGTTTCTGGATACCAGATATACAATCCCCGATCTTATTAGCGTCCTCTGAAGTTCTGAATTTTGTTTGAATGGTTTGCATGGAGTGGGTTAGATTGTTTTGTTTTGTTTTGTTTTGTTTTGTTTTGTTTTGTTTTGTTTTGAACAGCTAACGAAATCCACACCAAAGCATAGAAATCAAGCAACCGGACTTCTGAAGCGGAGAAACTAGCCGAAGAAAAAAAAAAGCTTAGATAAAAAGCTTCTCTACCCAGGATCTTGATAAGTAATACCAACGGAACCTCTACCGATTCCATCGATCGAAGAGGCCACCCCACCCAGCTCTCTAAGCTTCATTTGCAACACTACAGGAAAAAGAAGAGAAATACGCAGCGGGTCTAGCGTTTGACTTCAATAAGCTACTACGTACTACGTACCGTACCGTACGCAAAGCCTGATAGATAGCTACAGCAGCTAGCGATTCGACGGCAAGAAATGATCGTCGAAGGTTTTCTTCGATGTCCACGAGTGAGGGTTTGAAGAGACTGTAAGCTATAGCTAGCTACCTAGCTCTATTACCGATAGGTATGAGGAAGCACTAGCCGAATGGCGTCACCACTGGGCTCGGCGGGCCACGGAAAGGCACCAGGACTGCGACACGCTCTCTCACTTAGCTACGGTACCTACCGGTATTTCTACTACGTGGAGGATCGTACTTAGTCAGCACGCCCGACTAAGCCTGCTGCTCCCTGACACGACGTCATGATACAGGTCGGCGCTAATACGTTTTGGCAAAAGCGCGTTTCGACCAAGAGCTTGAGTGTTGAAAGTTGAGAAGCCTGCCTTGGCGTAAAAAAAAGAAAAAAAGAGACGAGATTTTTTTTATTCTTTAGTTGTTTCACTACTTTCATCTGTTTAAAAGTGTATCCATGCACTTACTTAGCGGTACCTGCTCTTTTAATCGATGTAGTATTTAGCAATAGCTATTACTAAGAAGAGAGTTGCCAATAGCATCGGTACGGTACATTGAAATCGACTTGGCTTGGTTGGGGCCACTTCGCTTACATAAGCATGCCTCGCTTAACGCGGCATACCCTCAAGGGCCTTTGACTTCCTTGTAAATACTATGATATAGCTAGTCTTCGTGACTCCTTCTAATCGTATAAAAGGGATCTACTCTTTGGAAACTTAAGGAGCAGACAGAAATCAGATACCATTTTTAACGACAGTTTTGCAATTGCAAGAAGCAAAGTACGCTATACGCTAGGAATGAATACTCGCTACCGTCGATCCAATATATACTTTGGAAGAAGGACAAGAAGAAGACGAGACCTAGAATACAGGGCATATTGTAAAGTGAAAGCATGTTAGACTTTTTTCTTCCTTTATCCCACGAGGCCAACGAAATTCTTCGCCCACTCAATCGTCGGTCTCCAACTCCCATCTATGGAAAGGAAAAAACGGGAGAGGATGGCTCGGACGAGAAGCTTCCCTCCATTCTTAGTAAACCACCAGTCGTCAAGCAAGTGCAGGATCATCCCGTAATGGATGAAAAGCATGGCGGCCAGCTCATCATCTTGGCCGAGGAGCTCAAATATGACTGGACTGATTCCGAGAGGCCACGAGAGAACAGCACCGACATTTCTGAGGGGTGATATAAGTTTCTCCAGGGATTGACAGGCAGTCATAATCTCGTCTCGATGCGCGACCCTGCTGCTCATCAACCCACCAAGTCTCATGAGAGATTCTAAAATAGGCCTGTCGCCAATTAGCTGCGTAGAAACGAGAAAGCCATCGTTGGGGGTAACCTACGCGCACAAGTGGCGATTTTTAAGAACAAGAGCTCTAGTAAATTATCAATTATGATCAAGAGAAGGGGCTTGAAGTTCTTACTCTTCGAGAGCTAATTCTCCTCCATTTGGTGATTCAGCAACAAGACCACCAAACTCAGCGTACATAGGCAGGAAGAAGTCTTTGAGAACCCCGGTGCTCAACGTAGCCTCAGATTGTTGGAGGATGACGGTAACGCCTTCAAGCAGCTTGCGTATTCCGAGGATATCAGCTATCGGGTCCCCTAAAAAGAAAAAGTCAACAATCTATATGTTCGACGGCCTCGGAGACAATATTGAGGGCCAGGTGCTCATGAAGCACTTCTAGAAGAAGGCTTATTGCTGTCAGATCAACTCACGAGACGTCTCATTTGCGTTGTCACAGACACCAGGCACCGCAATGCTGAGCATGAAAACAAGGATCGAGCAAATGGCAACAGGCTCGCAGGTTTCATTATCCATGCTGGAAATGGCTTGGTTCAGCCCGGCAAGGGCCAGGTCCTGATATCTCAACGCGCTCTGTAGCCACTAGATGTTTGCAGAAGTCAGTCCAAGTATCCATAATAAAAAAAATGCAAAAATGCAAAAATTCCATGGAAAAATAATAATAAAAAAATTATGCCAAAAAAAAATATCTACAAAAAGATGTAAAGATGCAAAACACAGCAGCGCGCTCGTAGCGCCCGGCTCAAAACCTAATCGAACAGGTAACTAATTGAACAGATTTTAAGAGGGAGGGTGAGGCGGAGGGCGAATTCCGAGATTGGCGTGCAACCAGCGGACGGTATGGAGGGGCAGCGGCGTACCACTAAGCCATCGCCCCTCCGCGTTCACCGGTTGATACAAGAAGTTGTAAAACTCGCTTATATAAAGCAGGTTTAATTCTTTCCGGCGGAGAAGCTGGTGGGTGTATATCCTCAATCATCACTTACTTGCTTTTTCGTGCCGACTTCAAGATACACCAAATGTAAGGCTGAGACGGCAAACATGGCATCCAGTAGGAAGGCATTGTCCAAGGCCATTGTCGGGACATCGAGACGCCAGGCTTGTCGTTGGCGTTCGTTTCCCGGTATGAAGGTGGAGTAAGTCTCTGTTACAAAGTGATGCCATAATTTCAATTCCAATGTCCTCGCTGGCATCGGTCCTGGAGGCCTCTCTCTGTAGGACTCTGAGAGACCTTGATCATGTGATGTTACTCCATTCCCTTCGACCTGAGGCGTTTGGAAATGGCAGCCCAGTTCTCGTTTCGTGCAAGGGCCACACCGCGGCCGTATCTCATCACACTGCAATCGATATGTTAATTACCGTGCTGTTCTGTGGATGGAGGCTGTGGGAATAATGGTGACAGATGGATTGAAAGATTTCAACTGACCTTCACTATAGGTATAGGACGTCAGATTTTAGCAATTGGAATTATCTGAACAAAGGAAGACTGGAGTCGAGGGATACAAGAATTAGTAGAAGGAGGAGTTGTTGACCTACCATGGCGCCTCTTGCATTGCAGACAGCCGTTGTGGGATTTCCGATGGGATCGTCGAGGAGGCATTGATATTGTTTGTATGGGTCGTCGATTGATTTATCTATAAATAAGCTGCAGCCTTGTGTTGCATAAGAAGTTGAGGGACCAGGCGACACGTCGGCAATGCATCCAGAAGGAAGGATACGACGATACGACACTGTCCCCGTGACAGATATAATATCACGTGACCTGGTATCGGATAGAAGTGGCGAAATTAACTGGATCACCTGGGTGGATTCGGAACATCACGACCCTCTCGCTGGAATTCGCCTTAAAACCAACGCACGATACGATACAGTCTAGTCTGGATGTTATCATTTATCAACCAGAGCGATGGGTCCTTTTGATAATTTGAAGCACTGTCGCGTGCTGATGTAAATAGTCTCCCATTCAAAATATAAAGCATGGCTGTTGCATAATAACGATCTGATCAGTCCAGGCCCTTTTGGGCTTCCGGCCACAGATATACATAGTCTTGGAGCTGTATAGGTATCTTTGACAATGTACATCTTAGTTACCGCTTCGAATGACCTATGAAAGTACTTGCATGTTCTGTTTCTGTTCCTGCCCGGTTCGGCAGCTCAACGTCGGATTAATTACGGACCGACGGAAAGATAATATCATCGCCCTACGGCCTGCGCCAACGGCCGACCACAACACTCTACAGCAGCCTCGAGTCCGAGTCCTTGAAAACACCAGACTGAAAACCACTAAGACCTCCCAGCGCAATGCCAGCACAAGGTCAGTCTCTGAACCCGCCCTTGACCCGCTCCCTTATATTCATCGGAGTTGCAAGACTCCTTCTATTCCATGCGCACAACATGACAGCACGCAGCGGGCTTAATAGATATCCACGCGACATTTTCAGGCACGGTGCTGACGCATGACCAAGATAACAAGAAAGGCGCCAAGGGCAACCCGTCGTTCCCGGCCTCTGCCGGAGCTAATGCGAAAAAGCGGCATAGGGGCAAGCGCGGGAAGGAAAATGGCCAGAACGGAACAACCAGCCAAATTTACATGTAAGTCTTGGGTATGAGACAAAGGCACGAAAGAAGGCCGATCGGAAGGCCAAGAAAGCCGAGAGAACTAAAAATTCCAAGAGCGCAGTGGGTAATTTATGAGTACTGCTCTAATGATTGTACTGACATTAAGCCAGAATAAGGTTTCGACTAAGCAAGAGGAAATAGAAAAGCTGAAGGAGGTAAAGGCGAAGAAAGCTAGGAAGACCGCCACCGCACCCAAGAACAACCCTCGGGGTATTCCCACAAGATCGGGGGAAGAGATGAAATATCGGAGGCTATAGGTGGAGAAGAGGCCAAGACGACCAGTGTCGAGGTGGCTGTATCTGCTGCGGGCTTAAAGAAACGCAAGGAAGAGCTCGATGCACGCGAACAAGATCCTATTCAGCAGTCCTACGCATACGACAAGAAGGAGAAAGAAGATGCTAGCAAGAAGGCGACAAAGAAGCTTGAGGATCGCAAGCTGAAGGCGGAAGCCAAGGCGGATAGAGCTGCTGCTAAAGTGGCTAAGGTATGCTTCCAATGCTTAGCTGTGAAATTGTGTTCAAATAGACGGACTAACCAACTTGAAAGCGAATGGAGAGGGTGGAACGCAGACAGCAGGCCAACAAGGAGGGAGATTTCATTGTCTTGAAGCCTGTCTTCGCTGGTATCAGCAAGAAGAAGGCAGGCTCGAAATCAAAGGTTCCGTTGAAGCTATCACGCCTATCTGCCGATCAAGAATCCGGAGACAAGGAGGGAGAAGAAGGGGACGAGGCTGTCGATGACTCAGAGCCATGTGCCAGACCAAAATTATCATACTCTGTGGATGGATCGCCTACCGTTGTAAGGAACCAAGATGATGAGAACGAGGTCAACGATGAAACCATGGAGCCATTAAAGTTCAGCACCAGCTCCGCAACCGCAGCCCCAGTGTCTTCTGCTCCGGCCCTCTCAACCGCCGTTCGTCCGGAGACAAAATGCACAGCCACCGAATCATTCGACCTCACCACCATAGACCTCACAGAGGACTTCACAGGAATCACAGGAATCCCCATCAAGCGATACACCGAGGCCCGAAAGTACCTCGACGAGCGCAAGCAACTGGCAGCTGAGATGAAGAAGATGGCCGAGAAACTCAAGAAGCTTTCGGCGAGAGAAGCCTTCATCGAGGCGCGGATCTCAGATATGAGACGTCCTGTCACTGCCACCAACGGCAAACTCTCTTGTAAGCGAGACAAAAAATGCGAGCCCATTCCTCTCAGCCGAGTCGCCCTTTCTAAGTCTACCCTCTCCGCTTCATGGACTCTCAAACGAACGAACGGATAGAAGAACTAACAGACTTTCACTCAGGACCAAATTTGCGAGAAGCACACGGGTGTTTATATCACGTCTAATATTCGCACGCATATCCCTTTCTAGCGTCCTCAAGATCCCGGAAAAAACGTCTCCATGACCGTCATGGGCTGATAGCTGCAGAATCATGCCGATATCTTGGTATTTGTCCACCCTACCCGAAGCTGGGTATTTATTTGCTCGAGTACGGAGAGCGCGCTTTGCTACTGGCAACTATGGGGGGAAAGATGACTAGCACTCGATTGTATGCAAGAAAGAGAAAATGGTTAGCTCACTTGAGACCCGAGAACCAAATCAAGCATTGCATCAACATAGTCCCGGGGCAGTGATCTCGAGTCTTGTTCTCAGGTGTCTATATATCATCAATCATTCATCAACAAGTACAACCGGGTAGCCATGCATCAAAGCCTACTTTCCCTTCCCCCTCCCCCCAGCCCCCCACTCATCCATGGCCCCTTCTCCCCCTGCACTTCCCCCTCTCCAAACAAAACCCTCTCCCTACCGCCCCTCGTCCCCCACCAAGCAACACAAACAGCGCTCCTCTCAACATCCATCTCACCCCCTTCCAGCACCTCCCAAAACCGCCTCTTGCACTCCTCCCGCATCGCCGGGTCAGGCACGGCGTTCAGGAGATCCGCTGTGAGCGGCAGCCACGACTCTAGCGCTTCCAGCGTGACGTTCGGGAGTGCGTCTAGGAGCGTGAGCAAGAGGACTGCCTGTTCCGAAAGAGGGGAGGGATGGGCAGTAGCATCAGCTTCGGACCGCACTGCAACGGAGGGGGGTAGTGGTGCTGTAGGCGCGTGAAGCGCGCGGTGGTGTAGGAGCTCGAGCAGGGTCTCTGCCATCAGGGGCTGGGATCTCGAGAGCGGGTTTGGAGGCGTGCATATCTGAATCAGGGCTTTGAACGCGAATCTGAATTGGCGAGGCGAGAGGTTCCGCGGGAAGGAGGTGAAGAGGCTTTCGACGTAGAGGGGGAGCATCTTTGTGGTGAGGGCTTCGTTTTGGGGAGAGGCGAGCACGGCGAGCATGCTGCTGTGGGCGGCTTCGAAGATCTCGAGGAGGTGCGCGTTGGCGGTGGGAGAGAGGTAAGGGGTACAGGGTATCACTATTAGGGTTTCAATGTCCGAGGACTTGAGACAGAGTGTGAAGTGCTCGGCGGTGTTAAGGTAGAAGAGGTCGTGGTTTCGTTGTAAAGGGTGGGATGGGATTTGACCAGCGTGAAGGGGGTATATGGAGCGAAGGAAGGCGAGAGAGGAAGTAGGAAAGCGAGTCAAGATGTCGATCGAGGTCAGGTTAACAAAGGTATAGGCTGAGAAGGCGTTTGAGCCCGCGCGGGATGAGATGAAGTGGAGATTTGAAAGAATTAGAAGTGTCTGAGAGGCAGTTACTGGTGCGAGTTGTGCAGAAGCCAACACGGGATCGATCAAAGTTCGTCCGATTACTGATCTTAGAATGACCACCGTGGCGAACAGAACCGTCTTTAAGATATGCCAGAGCGCTGGGAAGGTGATTCGAAGCGTATCAGAGGTCAAGAACGTCGATTCTTCAGAAGGATCGATTTCAGATAGCTTGTTTCCCTGCCACTTTTGTAAAAGTCCAGTCGTAAATAACAATAGATAGTCTCGAATCTCAACCACCAATTGAGGATTCCGCACATTCTCAACACAATGAGCAACGAGTCTGGACAATGGGCCCATAGAAGCGACGATAGGTTTCGAGGATAGCCTTTGGATCTGTAAAAAAGATGCTGATCTTGCAGGCCAATCGAACATCAGTTCTGAAGCCTGTTCGACATCGTAGTCGATGGCCTGGAGAAAGTATCCCTCCTGGTACCCATCAGCAGAAACCATGGCCTTGATTGTCGGCATAATCAAAATATCATAATTCAGCCCCGTCCTGACTCCGTCGGATAGGAGAGGGAACGCATGATTGAGAGCCAATACCACTGATCCGGACCCCGTGGCACCTGCGCTTGCCGGGCTTTCCAAAGCCAGGTTGACTGCCGTGACCATGGCATTCTCTAGTGTGGTCCGTAGGCTTCGCGATAGTCCTTGTCTCTCTTGCCCTTCCATTCCAATCAACAGCCCACAAAGTACCAATACGTGTTGCCATCTCGGCGTTCGTTCATCCAAGCCTTTGACCACAGCTCGTGCCCAGTCGTCGGTCGCTATTCCGCCTCCCAGACGCGGTTGATACGCATCGTATGGCTTGGAATGGCCCTCGGCCTGATGCTTATGTACAGTGATCGCGGCTGTATTGAATACACTGATGATTCGGAGACTCGTATTTAGTCCATCGACTTGGTTCCATATCGCAGGCGCAGTGAGTAGATGTGAGGTGAGAAGAGTAACGTTCAAAGGGTTGGAGAGAGTCGTTAAAAGGGAGGTTGTGGTGGACAGAATCTTGCTGACTTGTACCGGATCAGAGGGACTCTGATATGCGCGTAGCACATTTGTGAGAAGACGATCCGCCGGCATGACTGAATGGCTCACATCGATGTGGTTGTTGGTGAGCGATTCGTGATGTCTGGCATTGATCAGTGAGTGGTTGTGACTTTAGAGCCGAGGTATCTTATTTTCAGCCTTGCGCGTCATTTCATGTTCATTATCCGGCAAACAACGTTGCGTGAAGAGGCTGACAACAATCTCCTCCCGAGTAGGGATTAAGAGACGATGGCGATCAAGTAAGTGGTTCAAAGACTCGTCGTAATAGATGTTGATACTTCAGACAGCACTCTTGTCCAGACCACTGCTCCATTAGACTACAAAGTGCCGTCATTCCCGTCTCTCTACTGGCCCTTCAAGGCAGCGCCTGGCGTCGCAAAATACCTCTATCACACTTTCGACATATGGCGATTCACTCTCCTATGGACTCTCATCATCTACGCTGGCTGCCATGTTGTGGTGGTGGTCTATGCCGTCTTAATGCAGCTGGGAAAGGGGAAGAAGGCATGGAAATACGTGTGGACCTTTCCGATCATATATTGTGCTACCGCGGGCGTGGAAGCTCTGCTAGCGGGTAGTCTCGTGGGCTTGATGTAGGGATATCTTCTCCTGCTGTGCATTCTCATAAGGGCATTCGGGATGATTAAGCTAACACCTTCAAGTCTTGGAGCTCTCTACAATGCTGGCTACTTTCGGATGTCGACCTGGTTCCCATTCATTTGGGGACTAACAAATGTCCTGGTGTTGATCACATCTTCATTTTCCATCCAAGGAGCTCTATGACCGGCTCAAAGCGAATGCCATATCTTCCGTTCATCAGTACGAGCTGTATCACCCAAGCATCAGTTACGCTCCGCGGCCGCTATTATGGCCTCACTACCCTCAGAGAGAGCAAGGGCGGGATCAGGCTCCTTGGGCTCGATCTTCTTGATGATTCGAGCTGGATTTCCAGCCACGACATGGAAGGCAGGGACATCCTTAGTCACCACACTTCCAGCACCAATCGTGCAACCTCTTCCGATGGTTACATTCGGACATACAGTAACATTGCCACCGAACCAGCAGTCTTCACCAATAGTGATTGGACCTCCGAGTTCTGGGCCGTTGATGCCATTGCGGAGGAAGGGGTCGAGAGGATGCGTGGCGGCGAAGAAGGAGCAGCCAGGTCCTATCAACGTCCGAGAACCGATGGTGATCAGGCAGGTATCGAGAAAGGTGCAATTGAAATTGACGTAGACTCCTCTGCCGAAGCTGGTTCTTTGAGAATTGGATCTGGGAAGGCAGAGGATCAGGGCTGAGCCTACCGGAGATTTGTTCCATAGTCTACTTTGATTGGACCGTCTATGTATGCATCGTCTCGGAAGAGACCTGCCTCTTCTTCTTCAGTGGCACTTGGTGGAGGCAGAGGAGTCTTGTCATCGACAATGCTATCACAACACAAGTCAGAGGGACAGTAAGACGGGCTGCTGTGTGTAAACCCATTATAGTTAACAAGCAAATGGATCCTTACTTACTCTCGCCAGAGTCTCACAAGCTCTCGCCTCGATGCTTCCCCAGCCTGGTTGAACCTGTGACAAGCATGGTGACAACGATTTCTCTTCGCCGTCAATCCTGGAAGAAATGCGTGGTACAGTTCTCCCCGCAACATCCGAGCTTCCTGAGTAAGGATTAACAAACACCCTTTCTTTATAACTTCTTGTCAAGATCAAGCAACAGTGCCTCGGTAGACCGTAGCACAACAGCGGGGAGAACTCCTCTTGGTGTTGAAATGTGTACGTAGATGATGCATACATTTTCGGCTTCGTCTACTTTATGTGAGTCTCCCATGATTGCAGCTGTTGTGCGCCTCAAGAGGGATGCAATTGAGACAGCAGAATTGTAGGATTTATAATATAACGGGCCAGGTTTCGCAAAAGCTGGGTGGTACCAAGATGTTCTCGGTTGAGAACTAAGCAAGCTTCGATTTGAAGCAAGATCATCATTCTCTTGCTTAGCTAACAAACTTTAAAGTAAAACTAAACAACTTTTGGCCAACCGACTATCGAAAAATACTGCATTTGAAAACTAGCATTCAGAAATCGGTTTCGCTAAAACCGAGATTCCCGCGCTGGACCGGGACCAAACCACCCCTAAGACTACGGTAGCCGATCGATACCAACGTGTTGCTGGGACAAGGCTCTCGCTCAACCTTCCCGCTCTCGGCTACTCGAGTAGTTTGCGACAGACCCGGCGTTTACCCGACCCCACTTCGGCATTTCCTAAGCCTCCCTCCCTCAGCCTCGTCCGCAAACATCTAAAGAAGCACCGGCGACAACAAAGAATATCAACACGCCTCTTTATCTCTTTCATCGCGCCTCGGAATAAAAGAGTGCATCTCGAACCTTACCGCTATGGGTGCTCTTGAATAGGTCTCCCGCCTTTTATCTCTATAGCCCACCTCCAACCCAGCTCCCAACCAGGAAATCATGGCAGCATCCTCCTCCTCAACCAAGAATGGCTCTGCATCTGCCTCGACCAGCGGCATCTTCAATGAAGCACACTCATTGATCTCCCGCGGTGGCCTCGGCAGTGCCTCTCTAAACGCCCCACACCTGCCTCGTCCCTCACCCGCGATCCAACCGCAAGAGCTCAATGCCGCCCTCGACAACTACGAAGCGCAGTTCCTCCCCCACGGTCCCAAGTCCCTCTCCGGCATCGCCCTGCGCTCCTTTCTCCTTGGACTCGCCCTCTCCTCCACCCTCCTCCTGACGACGTCCCTCCTCTTCTCGATCGGCACCCCCCTCTGGCGCGCACCCTTCTTCCTCGCCGCGCTCAGCGTCTTCCACTTCCTCGAGTTCTACACCACCAGCTACGCCAACACGTCCGCCGCCAAGATCTCCAGCTTCCTCTTCTCGAGCAACGGCTCCGCCTACACCGTCGCGCACACGGCCTCCCTCCTCGAGACCCTGCTCGCCCACACCTTCCTGCCGGGACCCCTCCTGCCACGCTGGGCACACTACGGGGCCCTCTGTGCCGGTCTCGCCTGCCTCCTCGTCGGGCAGGCCGTCCGCGCCATCGCCATGCTACACGCCGGCCCCAACTTCTCGCACGTGGTGCGCCACACGAAGTCCACGTCCCACGAGCTGGTCACCACGGGCATCTACGCCTATCTCCGACATCCGAGTTACTTCGGGTTCTTCTGGTGGGGCATTGGCACCCAGCTGGTATGCGGGAACACGGTGTGTCTGGTGGCGTACACAGTCGTATTGTGGAAGTTCTTCAGCAGTCGAATCAGTGGAGAGGAGGAGCTGCTGGTAGGCTTCTTTGGAGCGGAATACGTGGGTTACAAGGCGAGGACTAGGGTCGGCATTCCCTTTATCAAGTAGGGGCTGCTACACTTAGGAGATTTAGCTGGTGTCCGTGGAGTATTGGGGCAAAGGGGAACGTCAGGGGCTGGGTGGGCAGGCATATGGATTCGCGTCTGAAAGATGGGGATGGCTCGGCGAAAGATATGTATGTGTGATATGGGAGTCCGATCTGACTGGGATGTGTTTTTCTCTACATCTCCTCAACATTTGATAGTTTCCAATTCGTATATGATAAACACGAGAGAGAGCACATGGATACGGAGGACAAAAGAACCAAAACGTTCTATACAAATATAACCTCCCCAGAGCTCGGTAATGCTTACTAGCCTAATAACATCAACGCCATTGCCATGCATCGCCCGGACCATGCTACAGAGGGGTATGAATATCCAAAAAAAAAAAAAAAAAATACAGAAATCGATGCCCATATGCTCGCATGCAAGAACGAATTACTCTCTTCCCTATGCCAGCAATTAAATGATTATTCAAACCTCACTGATGCCCATCACGCTCTTCCAACTCCTTCATGTACTTTACAAATGTCTTCTTATGCGTCTGTTGCAATTTAGCCGAGCTCTTGATTCAGGGGTGATAAGCGAGGGGGACTCACCATGCCAGCATATTTACCGTCTCTTGTCACACACACATATCGCAGCCCCAACTTGACAAAACATTCGTATACTAAATCCATGGGGCTCCGGATGTCAAGCGCCAAGGGCGCAGGGTCAATATACGACGTGAAGTCCGTCGGATCGACGTCCATCTCGTCATCAGAATCAAAGGCTGGCACCTTGGCCATCAAACACATGCTCTCGGCCTCATCTTCCAGATTATCGAGTGCGTACCCGAGATCTGGAGCTGGGATGAGACCGACGAGGACCTCGTCCTTGATGATGGGAAGGCCGCCGTCAACTTCACCGGCTTGGTGTAGGAGCTCGAGCTTGCGGCGGAGACTACTGGCGGATACGGTGGGCTGGCTGGTGATGTCGATGATTCTCTCCCGACGAACACGTGGGAGAATGTCGGCGAGGTCAGAAGTGAAGATGGGCTTGTGCTTATTATTGAGAAATGGATACGAGTTGAGGTTTGTCAGAAGATCCTACAGGTGTTAGCGATCGGCTATTTAGCATGTAGTGATGCCTACGTAGATACTCAATGGTTCCATCCAATCTGCCGTCCACTTTGCGACCAGAATCGCCAGTGAGAATGGTAAGACGTAATCGAGACTGCCGGTCAATTCAAACAGGATAACTGCCAGAGTGACCGATAGGCGAGTAACGCCACACATTGTTGATCCGGCTGCAATGAGTGCATAAACACCCGGCGTAATGCAAGAAGTACCAGTTACATGTGCTGCGCAGTTTCCAAAGATGGGAGATGTCGGGTATCGAAGAACGACCCACTGGATGAGATGTCCAATGAGACGTCCGCCTAGACCGCCTACGACCATAGATGGGACGTAAATACCCGCTGGCACTTTCTATGTGGCCAATTAGCCATTGAGGAACCGAAATCTCAGCCTGCTTACAGAGACTTACAATTCCAAAAGTTATGATAGTAAGGACTCCTTTGATAAAGAACGCAATAGCTAAGTTCGAGACGATTGGAAATATCTCATCCATATCCTCCGGGCATAGGCCCAGATCGTCAGATTTGCCGGGATTACACGGGCTTGCCAGGTTGAATAACAGCTTGGCGACAGGAACCTTTGTGTAAGGGTTCCAGTAGCTGACAAGACCAGTGATTAAAGAAACCAACATGACTTCGACAAGTGGCCACTCTTTGACAATGTATACTTTTCTGAAGGACTTGGCCCATGATCGAGACGCTTTGATGAACATAGCCCCGGTCGCGCCGCCGAGAAGACCGACAGTGATAAACCCAGCAATTTCAAAGAACTCCCAGTCTGTCAGATAACGGACCTCGAACATGACAACCTTGTTGGTGCCGTATGGGTTCAGGAATTTAAGAGTCAATGCAGCAGTGATGCAGCAGAAGAAAGTACGAAACAGTGTCTTGGCCGGAAAGAAGTATGCAACTTCCTCCAGGCAAAAGAGAACACCGCCGATAGGCGCTCCAAAAGCTACCGCAACACCTGCTGCGGCGGCTGCTGAAAGTACCTCTCTGCGTTTCCCGTCATTACTATCGTACTTGGAGAACAGACGACACGCAATGTTACCAACGCAGGTGGCAATGTGAACGAATGGCCCTTCTTTCCCTAAACTGAGACCAGATGCAACACTTAGAATCAGAGCAAGAGTCTTGATGATGAGCGTTTTGACACCCAAAAATCCGTGAAGAACGAAGCCGCTCAAAATGACCCGAACTTCGGCAACCCCAGAGCCAGCAGCTGAATAATACACCATAGGCGGAGCCACCGCTTGATCCGGAGCAAGATTTGGATTGGTTGTTCCATCCTGCTGGGGAAGATCATCTGGTCGACGAGACGTGGCGGCAAGGTTCTCATCCAATGTCGAAATATGATAGGTGGAGGGGATGATGGTTTTTGTGGTGAGAGTCATCAGACAGGAAATAGCGGAGAATGCCACGACCAGAATGACGAAGATGCCAAATTCGACAAATTCCTTGCTGACGCCTGGGATTGTTACGAAAGTTGACCAGGACTTCCAAGCATCACAGCGTGCGCCTTCGGGGCAACAACGCTAGAAAAAGAAGTCAGCTGCAAATACCAAGACTACATCTCGGTGCAACTGCAAGTACAGTCTCGGGGTGGACATATATTTCTTTCTAAACCGGCTAGGTTACGACAAGAGTCGGGTAGATGAGTATAGATTTGACTTGCTTTCGCCAAAGTCACATTGAGCGAAAGAAAGAGCATGTATGCCCGGGACTTACCTTTTCGCTAAGCAGGAACCCATCTGAACAGTAGCCATCCTTCCAGTCGTAGACCGGGGCCTCGGATACGTCCACAACATATGCAATCACTGCCGTAAGGAACCCGACTACCGCACTCAAGATCCAGCCCTGAGCTCCATCGAAGAAGCATTGTATCCTCCCTCTCAAATCTTTCCGGCTTCTCAGAGCCTTGACTCGGTAGGCATCTGCTATACTATCGTGGACCCAGTCTGTCGAGGTGAATTGGTCGTACCAGACTCGCTCGTCGGGATAGAGCGACTGTTTGGACTCTCGCATCGAGCCCTTGTGGTTTCTGTCCGTTGTCAAGGCATTAGCTAGACGGGTGCTCCAAGAGCTCCGACGGCTGTGATGTCGTGAAGGTCGTAGACTCCCTAGATAGGAATTATCAGTTTAGGTAGTTGAAGATATAATGCACCAACGTTGGGGGAGAAGCTGTCCTACCGTTGCGGCTTTGGTGTGATCTCCCGATTCCTGCGTCGGACTGTATTCGGATTCTCGACGGGCCTGAGTTAAGCAAGAGGGGGGATGTTTCGTCCATCGACAAAGTGCTCCGCGTTCTGCCCAAGTCGACCCGCCGGGTAGTTGGCGAGGGCGGCGAGGAGGAGTTGGCCGAGTCGGGCAAATCTCGAGCCATGATTAAGTTGTCTGTCTGGGAGAGCACTCGGGATCTGGTACTGGTGCTGCTGCTGGTGCTGCTGCTAGTTAAGCATTTCTGAAGCATGAACTACATGCTGTGTGATGTTGGATAGAGCCGCGCACAGTGGACGCAAGGAACAAGTTGAGGAATAAAGTGTGGTGGTGAAGAGTGAGGCGGAGATGGAGGGGGCCAGAGGCAGTGGGAGTGGGAGTGGACGAGGCAGGGACGATAGCCACAGTGAGAGTAGCAGAACGCACAGTATGAGCGGCAGAAGCAAGAAACGGTGGATGTACAGGTAGAAGTGTTGTAAGTATATGTATATACCGTAGGTAACAGGTGGAGGTCGTTGGAGAAGGATAATCAAGCTCTTTGGGCCGACCGTGCTTGTAAGGCCAAGATGCAGCGGCCATGTATGCTATGCTATGCAGCCCACCCGCCATATGCATACCTACCTAGACGGCTACCTAGCTGCGTGGCCAGCCATGTGACGGTGTAGCATCAGGTCTGTATCACGGGGATCACGGGGATCACGGGGGGGGGCGCCGTCTTTCTTGGCCCCAGGATTGAGGCGTTTGGTCTTGTCGTATATGTCACTTGTGTCGAATCATGATCAAGGATAATTACAGTAACAAAGTAAGTAAACAATGGACTGATGCTGTACACAGTACCTAGATGGTGTGTACAAAAACATTCAGGTACCATTTCTTTTAGATTGCCTGCCGTATATAAGATATATTGTATAACCATATACCTAGGGAAGTAACAATCAGTCACCAACCCCACGCCGTCAACCTTGGGTACCACAGCTCCCCTCGTACAACAGCAACAGCAACAGCAACAGCAACACATGGCAACTGCAAAGAGATACCCGCAGTTGATACTGCTCGGCGATTCAATCCTCCAAAACACGCTGCTGGTGCGTGACGGCTTCAGTTTCCAAGCCGGTCTAGCTGAACGTGAGTACAGACTGAGTGACTGAGTGACTGAGTGACTGACTGGCGGTATCATGATCATGGGACTGGGACTCACATGCAAGCTCAACTCAACTCTCTCCATGTCACGTTCCCTCTCCCATCGTCTTCGTCCCCCCCCCCCCCCCCTCCCCCTCCCCACCCCATCATATGAGATACAAGCTGACCTTACCATCCTCCCCCGTACCTAGACTGCCTCCGTAGATTAGACATCATCAACCGGGGCTTTGTATGTGGCTTATCTACCATCTACCATCCACTATCCTATCCCGTGCATGGAGACTGACGGCCCTCGATCCAGAGTGGTTACAGCACTGCAAACATTTCAGTCATCCTACCTGATATTATTCCATCTCCCTCCGCTGCCAAGGTTGACTACCTAGTGAGTATCCAACCTAGACGCAGCGGTTTGAATTATTTTGATCATGAAACATCCTACCCAAGAGTGCCCCCTACACCTCATGACATCTTTCTTGGTCCACCTCATCTAACTATGACATCTTCAGATCATCCTCTTGGGCTCAAACGACGCCTGTTTACCGGATAGTCCATCGGGCCAGCATGTCTCCCTCGAGAAATACCGTGAAAATCTGACGGCCATCCTCACTCATCCATCGGTCACGGCTCACGACCCCAAGATCCTTCTGGTTACGCCTCCGCCAGTCCATGAAGTCCATCTGCAGGAAGGCGACCTAGCAAGAGGCTATACTGCTCTGACCCGGCACCAGGCCGTCACGGCAAAATATGCCGATGTTGTCCGGGATATTGCCATCCAATTCAAAAACAATAATGTTGACCTTGTTGATCTTTGGACTACCTTGACGCAGGAAGCTGCCCGGCTGACTCCAGGTTATGTTAATGATGGCAAACTGATCGGAACACTGGAGACGGGCGAAAATCCCGGCTTGAGAGCTCTGTTAGTCGATGGGCTGCATCTCACAGGTGCTGGGTACAGCGTGTTCCTTAATGAAGTTGTGCCATTCATTGGACCTGAATGGGCTCAAGAACCAGAGACCAATCCAAAGTGGATTTTCCCGTAAGTGCTCTAGATCCAGCCTCTTCCGGAGAATGGCTATTGACCGTTATAGGCACTGGTCTGTTGCTTCGCGGAATGACAAGCCCTAGATTTTTAGAGGCGTGGCAGGATGTGATAAACACACATACCCACTCACGTGTATACGGATACCTAGTTGTAGTGGTTATTGTGCATCAATCGATGAAACGAAGTGGGTTCAGGGGAGAGTGAGTCGGCGGCAAGTCGGCAAGTCAGCGGCTGGCTTATTACATAGACCACAATTGTTATCCTCAAAAATACCGAAACCAAGGTTGTAATATTGATTCTTCAAAGGAAGACCTTCACAAGCCAAAATCTTATCGTCTGTTGTTTGAATGCTGTGGTACCTGAACTCTTGTTCTGGTAGGCTTATTATCTCCATCTTAAGCTGCATCGGCATCCCTGCATGGCGGGCAGTGGCCTCAGTGCAGGCTAGCATATCAACATCAAGCCCGATTCGACTGGACCAGTTCATTTAATTGGAACTGCAACCACAACATCAAGAACGAACAATCCACTGCTTAATCACTCAGTCTCACGTTTTATTTGACACTCAGACCAATTATCTAGAGAACCTCCGTCAACGCACCTCTGCTTCTGCAACCTTCCACTAGACAGTCGTAGCGTCTATACACCCACCCACCACCCGTCTCTCATCTTGTAACGTCGACACTCAGGAACCCCCCCACGAGTCCTTTGTTCTCCCGCTTTGGCGCCGATTCCCTTTCCCAGATAATCCATATCACCAAACTTCGTTGCTGTATCGGTCGCAGACGGCCTTGCGGATCTCCAGGCGCCTCCCCAATTCTCTCCTTACGCAGGCAATACCTCCACGGTCTAGCTCGAGAGTCTCCGACTCGTTCCCCCCGCAGATCGACCAGCTTCCTCAGCCACAGGTCACGATTCTAAGCTCTACGGTTGTGAACCAGCGTGGTGACCAAGACCGACGGTCGCAGGTCGATGCGGTGGAGGAGGCGGATTTCGCGAATCTCCTCTGCAAACGAGGGCTCGAGGGACGATATTGCCAGGACCACATACGGAAAGTGACTTGGCCACTCCGCAGCCTCTCACTTGAGCCGTTTGTGGGAGCAAACTGCTGCCTGCATTGCATTGAATACGAGGCAGACCGACCGCTCATCCAATCCGGGAATACAGTACCACATCCACGACCAGCTTGCGTAGTGCAACGAGTAGGCTCCAAGGCTGGCTGGCCATAGCTACTTTGAGAAATATTCCATCAAAGCCGACAGAGTTCAGGGCAGCTCGCAACGAAGTTTCGGTGGCAGCTTCATTTGCCTGGCACCGCGACTACTCCATCTGGCATACAAACGGAGGTTGGGGATGGATCCGCAGTTTGTTGCTACTCGAGAAGAACTATACCATGTACAGATGGAAATCAAGCATGTCCAAACTGTGCAGACCAGCCACGCCGACCGCCTCTCGAGACTGGAAAGACGACAAGCGGACGATGCTGCCCTGAAGTCTGTTTGGGGCCCCAGCTCGCCATTCCCGGGTGGCATTCTGAGTGGCACTCCCCAGCAAGGTTAGTCAGTCACTTTGGAATCAGTAGTCCTGGCATAGCTAAACGTATGGTCTCTAGGCCCGGTTCTCAATTCTTCGGCTGACGTTTTTGACGATTTTGACGATGAACAAGGGCAAAACCTGCTTGGTAGTCTGCAATTGGAGCCCGATGAGGAACCCGTCAGGCGCGGTACTTCTCGAGCTAACAGTGTACGATTCGATGTCAGCGCTCTACAAGGGTCGAACTGGGCAGCAGGCCCTCGGAATTTAGGAGAGTTTGCACCCACCCGACCCAATAGCGCATTCAGCAGTCATCCTATGACAGAGCGTACCCTTTCACACAAGTCGGATGGTAGACACAGTTCGGCCGGTCACTCTGTGCACTCCATGCATTCAGCCCCATCCGGGCGAACAAGTAGCCTAGGACTAGATACCAATTTCTTGATCGGGGGTCAAGATGACGATGAGTCGCCTCTCGACATCCCTGATCCTCCACCCGGATTGTTCATTTTGGGATCAGTTCCTTCTATCATCCGATGTTGGTTAACGACTAACTTCTCTCACAATGCACTTCTCTATGCTGCAGTGTGTACCGGTTCTCAAAGATCGACCCTCGACTACAGTCTTGTGAAAGAGCTTGGATTGGCCGACCAGGTGCACAAAGACTCCACGAGCCGTAACGTAATCAAGCTCCCTTTGTACCTGCCCGAGGCTGTCATCACACAGCCAGTATCAAGATCAAACAGCCCAGCTCCCTGCCTGCCTGCCCTGACCACCGACTTTGAGATTATTGGAATGACCCAGCGCGGCAACTCTGATCGGAAGAAGATCCGCGTGTTCCTTGGCAGCGATACCCTCCGTGCCCATAATGCAGACATCTTGCTCTCTCAAAACCTTATGGTTCTCTACGGCGATGATCGAAACAAGCTTTCGGTACCATTTGTTAGACCTGAGGACGAGAACATGTTCAAGAATCTACAGACTACGAATGTCCTTGCAGAGAGGAATGAGTTGAAGGCGACTGCTCCCGCATTCACGCCTACGGAATCTAAAGCCAAGGTTGAGCCGACACCCGACGCTGTCAACTTTGCTCTGACAAGTGGCACGGCAAAGGTCGGGGACACCAATCCTGATAAGCATCAGCTTCCCACAGCTGTAGAACCCCAGTCGCCATACACTCCTGCCTTCGCCTCTCAGGTCAACGATCGTGAGCGAGCTTCCAGCGTAAAGTCAGGGAACGGCGTTGTCAACGGCAGCGCCACTGACTCTGAGCGACAACACATAGGTGACACATCTGCCACCGAGCCCGAGGCATCAGACACCCACACTCCGGAACCCAACCGCCGTGAGTCCTCTGGTGGAATATGGGGTTCCTGGCGCCAAGCCGGCTCCATAAACGGCAGCGAGACCGAGTCAACGAGCGGCTACCAGCGCGCCACCCGAGGGGGCCGGAGCATGAAAGTCCTCAAGCCATCCTCGAAGCCCGCCATCCCAGCACCGACCCGCTCGTCGTCATCAGCCCGCACCGACCCGCCTCGCGCTTCCGGAGAAGCCAGACGCAAGAGCCAGGCTACGGGAACCGAGAACGTATCGTTGCGGTGGGAAACGAAGAGGACCGGCTCGGAGGAGCAGAGACCGCCGCACTCACATCCGCGCGTAGCGAGCATTACGACGATGCCGAGGAGTTCGAACCCGATCGGTGGCGCGTCGGCTTTCGTGTGGATGAATCCTGGGAAGCCGAAAGCGTCTGCAACGGCGGAGTGAATAAATAGGAGGGAGCTCGCTGACTGACTTCTTTCAAGTTACAAACACAAGATAGATAGATATAAATGGGGACGCGGCTCAGGCTGTGGGTCGGCTGCAGGGAGGTTTTTGACCCCCGAGAGGCGAGGAAGCCCTGGTCTGATTTGATCAGACCTGGCGTGAGCGAAATTTAGTACCAAAGTCCAATTTCCTGTCATTTCCTTTCTTTCTTCCTGTGATGATTGCCATCGGGATGAGCAGATAGGTATTGTTCTCCAAATTCTTGACCATGATATAGGGGGAAGGCCTGGTGAGCCAGAAACCCTGGATGAGGGGTAAAGTAAACATTGGCCGATAAGAGCCGTATCGCGAGCCCGGACCCGGAAAAACGAGATGAAAAAAAAGTTTTCGAGCACGGGCTTTTTCGAAAAACAACAAACAAGCAAACAACCCCTCGATCCAGCTATTTCTACCAATTCACCTCTCCCATTCCACTTTGACCATATCATCTCTTCACATCTTTTCCTCTCCCACCACCTGTTCAAGAAACACCACAACCCTACAGACAACTCTCAACGCATCTCCATACACATACAACTTAAAACATGGCTAAGGATAAGGTAGGTGCTCGCTCTGCTACCGCTACGGCGAGTCACCCCTCCTGTTTGTGTTGACGGAGGATACAATAGGTCTGCCTCGCATACTCCGGTGGTCTCGATACCTCCTGCATTCTTCGATGGCTGATTGAAGCCGGCTACGATGGTATGACACATCATCCCTCTCAATTCCTCAAGATTCCCCAGCTAACTGAGTCGCGTCGCAGTCGTCTGCTTCATGGCCGATGTCGGTCAAGAAGGTAAACAGAATCTCCTATGACCCCAGAAGCTAGATCGAGAAGAGAATAGGAATAAAAAATAATATAGTAGACTGACGAAGGGGCCATACAGAGGATTTCGAAGCCGCCAAAGCCAAGGCCTTGAAGATTGGAGCCGTCGCCTGCTACATCGAGGACCTGCGCAAGGAGTTCATCGAGGAGCTCTGCTTCCCGGCCGTACAGTGCAATGCCATCTACGAGAATGTCTACCTGCTCGGCACCTCGCTCGCCCGCCCCGTCATCGCCCGCGCCCAGATCGCCGTCGCGCAGAAGGAAAAGTGCTTCGCCGTATCCCACGGCTGCACGGGCAAGGGCAACGACCAGGTCCGCTTCGAGCTGGCCTTCTACGCCCTGCAGCCTAAGATCAAGGTCATTGCGCCGTGGCGGATGCCCGAGTTCTATGAGCGTTTCCCGGGCCGAGATGCGTTGTTGGATTATGCGGCTGCGACGGGCATCCCGGTTAGCAGTACGAAGAGCAAGCCGTGGTCGATGGATGAGAACTTGGCTCATTGCTCTTACGAAGCTGGTACGTCCCTCTCTCACGCTTCGGCAAGCCTTTTGCAAAGGAGACGCAAATCCGGTGACAATCGAAGAAGCTGAATGCTAACATTTGAATCTCAGGTATCCTTGAGGACCCCGATACTACTGCCCCAGCCGATATGTGGAAGCTTGTAAGCCACCCTTTTCATGACGAAATATTTTAAACTTGCCTTCATCCGAAACGAAGCGCATGCAAACATAATTTTTGTATTTCTTTGTGCCTGCTGGGAAAACTTTGCTGGCATTAGACTTGTTGCAGGATCTCGCTAATCTAGTGCATGCAGACCATCGACCCATTGGACGCCCCAGACAAGCCAGAGGACTTCACCCTCTTCTTCGCCAAGGGTCTCCCAGTCAAGCTGATCACCAATGGTAAGACCGTCACCGACCCGCTTGAGCTCTTCTTGGAGGTCAACGCCATCGCTCGCCGCCATGGTGTTGGACGTATCGATATCGTCGAGAACCGATTCAGTAAGCTCCTGCACCTCAATTGTCCCAGCTACCTTGCCTAACGCAATTACAGTTGGCCTCAAGTCCCGTGGATGCTATGAGACTCCGGGCCTTACCTGCCTTCGCGGCGCCCACATCGATCTTGAAGGTCTCGTCCTCGACCGTGAGGTTCGCGCTCTCCGTGACCAATTCCTCACCTTCAACTATGCCAAGATTCTCTACAACGGCCTCTACTTCTCTCCCGAGCGTGAGTTCCTCGAGCAATCCATCGTTGCCTCCCAAAAGGACGTTAACGGCCAAGTTCGCTGCCGCGTCTACAAGGGCTCCTTCACCGTCCTGGGCCGCAGCTCCGAGACGTCCAAGCTCTATGACGCCTCAGAGAGCTCTATGGATGAGATCGGTGACTTCGCCCCTTCGGAGACTGGTGGATTCATCACTGTTCAGGCTATCCGTCTGAAGAAGTATGGTCAGGCCAAGGCGGATGCTGGTGAGCGTCTCTGATTTCAACCGTTTCTTGTGGTCCGATCAATTTCGCACCTTTTTCACTATCGCGATGGAAACCCTTGGGACCATCTGCCTAATTACCATTTTTCGCCAAGGTCTCGGAAAAGCGTTACAGGTTTACTAGTGGCATGTGCAATAGAAGTTCTTCTCGACGATAATTAAATTCTCAACCGTGAAACTGCCGCTGTATACATCTGTTGCTCTCTGAATCGGCTCTATTACAGTACCATAGCGGAGTCGAAGTAAAGCGATACGGCTAGTTTAGCTAGGTAAGTATCATGGTTTTAGAAAGGGAGATTACTATAGCAAGCTCGGTAGCCACCCACTCCAAGCAAGTAAGTATAGCCATTTTTGTTTCCTTAAATAGGGTGGGGAATAGTAATCGTAGTGGTAGTGGTAGTAGGAACTTGGATCTCGAGAGGGATTTACAATGGACTGGACTGATATGATATGAGCATGGTCATGGACATGGACATGTAAAAAAAAAAAAAAAANAAAAAAATTCCTCTTTGCAAGCTTTGCCAGATCGTATGATTTTGATCCTGACTTGATTGATTTCTTCGGCAACCCCTGTACTGTATGTAACGTTACAGTTACTCCCGAATAGGAAGGTCCACGGGGAGGACCTTGCGACGTGCAACCAAGATTCGAGATTCGCAAAGTAGGATAGAAAGCTATGCGGTATCTCCTTCCTCTCCATCCCTCTCCTCGAAGGCTTAATATATATATATATTATTTTTTTNTTTTTTTTTTTTTTTCGGCTGACGAAATTTAGTCTTCGGCGCATGCGTGCATGACTTTTCGGGATTTTGGTGCTTTATGTTTCGTATTGTGTATTGTGTGCTTTTCAAAGTGAAGAGCTCTCTCTTCGTCTGAGGAGGATGCGAAATAGATTGCTTCATGTTGTTTCGAAAACGAAGTTCTGCTCGGAATACTGTTTGAACTTCCCCCGAGGGTTTTTCTCGGCCAGGGTAGGTTATTTCAAAGGCTTTGAAAGGGTCAAGTCCTGCTGTCTTTCTTGGCTCGCTGTTTATCAGTGAAGATACTAGTTGGGCCTTGCTCCCACACAAATATCCCCAGTATATCCCGTCAATGTTTGATTGTTCCATGGTACTGTCACTCGGGCTCTTAGATTCGCGCGTTTCTTCCAAAGTATATATATATATATATGGTTGACAACTTCACGCTTATTGGACATCCATCGCCCACTTCTCAAGTATCGTCACTTCACCAGAAAACCACCGTCATCGCCCACCATAGCACACTAAACGGTCCTATACTATAAGCGTCACTCTGCAAAGATGTCTTCCACGAATTCGAAAACACAGGACTTCAACTCGCAGGCCGAGATCCGCGTGCCGCAGGAGCCATTCAGTACCGTCGCACTCTTCCCCCAGCTTCCAAGGGAGATCCGGTTCCAAATCTGATAACTGTCCTCATTCACACCTCGCCTCGCCGAGTCCTCCCTCCTCTGTGGTGCTCAGTGGTGCTGGGAAACCAACCTCGGGTGTAGATGGAAAGATGCTAGAAGGCTCCTCTACGTACGTCTCGAGAGAGAGAAGCACAGCAAATCTACCACGCGAGAACGACATACACACCTCTGCTTTCTACCAACGCGGGGGGAAAGAATCCCTCTTAGGTCCCGTGTTTCGGAAACCTGCCAAAATAGACCCCGGCAACGCTTTGCTTCGAAGCCGGTATCAAGTCGTCCCTGAGGGGGTTGCTCTCCGAGCAGTAACCCCCAGGACGTGAGCAAGGGCACAGAGGATAGACGTTCTGTGCCACTCACACTCGGCGCGAGACGGGAGTATTCGGCCTCTCGAGCGGTACTGGTACAGTCTCTGATCGACGGGACTTTGGCCATGTCCGCGAGGTGGACTTTCGGGGAGAGCTTGTCTGATTCTGATCGTGAGTTGTATTTCTCGAGCAGCCTGAGGTTTGATCGATGAGTAGACGTGAGTGAAGCGTGCTAATTCTCCTTGATTTTGAAAATGTGTAAAATAACAAAAAGTTCCCGCCATCCGCGTGTTGTTCGAATAGGTGGGTGGCTGGGATCAGATCATTCACGGAGTTACGTAGGTCGGTAGGTAGACCCGATTGTGGAAAAAAATAATAAAAATTGAGTGCTAGGGTTGTAGGTAAATAAGAGGGATGCCTTGCCCCATGGAAATCATACGGGGAGCCGTGGTATGTATGGGTAAAAGTTGTGAGTGAGGTCAACCAACTCCTACTACTATTAGATCGAATGCAAAAAATGTTAAAAACAGAAAAAAGTAGGAATTTCCAGCAAAAATCGACTGGAAGCTCAATTCATAATTGTATATGATGGTA